TCCCGGTATAAAGGCTAATGGGACAATACATACTACAATGGTCGCCGCCCGAGAGCGTACCGCAAAAGTACGCGGTATATCAATTTATCCACAGTAAATTTTCATCCGTAACCCTGTTCGTACGTCGTGTTCTACTACTATTGTATCCATACGACGTGAGGAAGTCTGTGACACCATTTCCAAAAAGGAAATTTAATCGTTAATCCAATCCGTACGCTTTGCATAGCAGTCTGTCTAAATGATTTTTTGAGAAATACTGAAAGTTTCAAAGACATCTTCGTACTAGAAGCATTCTAAAATGCGACGAACACAACCTCGGGGGTACAAAATGACCCCAGGGCGTACGGGTAAGGTTCAGAACCCAGTTTAAAAACAAAATCCGCCCAAAAGCCCAGTTTGTGCTAGAGTAAATAGAGTTTTTCAACATACGGAAAGCCGTCCCCGGCTTACATCTCAAATATTTTAACTAAAACTCTTCTAGGTGGTGGCGACCAATTAATTAATAATTTCCTCCCCCACAATTCCTGTAACTTCAGCTGATGAAAATGTCGTTTTACAAGTTCTTGGACATGATTCACACTTCGATGTGATTCATAACTGACAAATCTCAACCTCGCTAAAACATAAACGTGCACACAAAGCATTACAAAGCATATGCGAGGCGTGCTGACAAAATGAGTTACTTTTCGCAAACCACAGATTGAGATATTAGCCAAAAAATGACATTAGGGTCAAATTTGTAGATTTTCTATAGATTTTCTATTTTCTTTCACTATTACCTGTCTTTAATTTATTTCATACTTATAAATTGTAAAAATTTCACCTCTAAGCGTGATGTATCTGTTGCCTAAAGGCTTAAATCCGAGAAGTAACTCATTTTGTCAGCACGCTTCACATATTATTATTATTCCGATTATGAAAACCACAAAGTAGGCTGCAACTGAATAAGGCCTTGCTTTTAGTTGCCAGTTGCGTATACACCTAACAAAGTTCCAACGTGCTTGTAAGTAACTAGATCTAAATCACAGGTGTGAAAGTGTTATAAACTTTCACACCATAGTCTGGGCTTCGGCACCATAAACCCTCTCAACTTCAGCGTTCGCAAGTACCTTCAAAAAGAAATCTTTAACCCTTTGACAAGAAGAGTTTCTTTAAGAATGGACTGCAGGAATCCGCCCATCCCTTTTCTAAGTCCTGAAGAAATATTTTGATTGGTGCTCGGGAGTCTATGGTTGTATGCGGTGACAACAGTGATTGGATAAACCAGGAAGGGAGGCACGTTCTCTCTCTCTCTCTCTCTCTCTCTCTCTCT